TTAGGCCCAAAGAGAATAATCTGGGGAAAAAAACCCTGGGTTAATATTGTTTGAGAGTCTAAAGCAAAAAGGCCGGGGGAAATTCACCGTATTTAACATCTTAAAGGGAAGTTAAAAAAAGAAAGATTTTTTTTTTCTAAAAATTAAATCAAATAAGCCCATTATGTAAACTTGAGAAATAACCACTTACACAGTTTTGTTTTCTCATTACCCAGGTCATTTTGTAGCATTCTCTCAGTTTAACTCTCTGCAGTGTAGCATCCACTGATTTCATTCAATTGATATGTCTCTTGAAATTTACTCATTATTTCTTCACAGGAACCAGAAATACCCACCTGATGCTTTCCTGTCTCTGTGCCCTTACTTTGGGTGTTTCCCCTCTCCATTCTTATTTTCTCTCTCCTCCAAAATTTCTTTTAACCAAACTTCTACCCATCATTTAAGGCTCACCTTAATTGCTGCTATTACTATGAAAACTTTCCAGGTATCTCATGCCAGAAATATATCACTCTACAGTGGACCCTTGCATAACATATAACAGTGCAAAGGCATACATTCTCTTATAATTCAAAGAAGAGGTATTTAGGGTAAAAGAGCAATGTCTAGGAAAGGGGTGGTTAGTAGCTTTACACAGGAAGTATATGATTTTGTGCCAATGTATGGATCTGATTTCAGTTCCAGTTCTACGTTACTTGGCCTTCAAGGATGTTTCTAAAACCCTAGTTTCATGATCATGGCTGACAGAGAATACAACCACTAGAGTAGAAATCCACTGATACAGCAAGAGAATAAATCCACTGAGACATCACAGTATCAGAGAACTCATCATAGAGAAACAGAGAACATTCTGCGTCATTATACAGATGCAAGGCAGGAGCAAACAGCCTAGGTCAGACTACCCTGCAGTGATCAAGAACAACATGGACAGCAAAGAACTGTAACAACAAAAAGAAACCCTGCTGTGAAAATGCCATTCTGTCAGACCGCCATGGTTAAGGGAGACCAGCAGTTCCTTAAAAAGAGGAATGGGATACTGACATTAACCCTACAGTATATCCTTCATAAGCCATCACGTATTTCCTAGAAAAGATTCATCAGCTAACAAATCTGTAACATTTTCATGAAATGCCAAACTGATGAAACTTTTTATTGTTCTATATAGATCCCTGCTTCTATCTCTAAATTTTAGTAACTTATAAATGATAATAATACCTACCTTATAAATTATCAGGAGGCTCCCACAGCATCCTGCCAAGCCCTTACTATCTTCATTATAATTGCTGAAGATATCCCTTCATCCTCCTTACTGGTGAGAGGAAGGATAAGAGCACAGATTCTGGACATGGACTGCCTGGGTTCAAATCCAATTCCACCACTTACTAATTGTGCACCTTGGCCAATTCAGTTAATCATGTTGTGCCTCAGTTTCCTCTTCTATATAACGTGGATTAAAATAGCATCTATCTCCAGGCTGCTGTGAGCATTAAATGAATTAGTGCCTGGCCCGGGGGCAATGCTACATACTTCAGAATGCCACATTAAGTGGTAAATTGGTATCATTGTTAGCACAATGGCACACACCTCAGAAGTGTTGCTGAATGACTAAATAAGGGAAAGCACGAAAGGAAGATGTTACACTTGAGAAGATAGAGGCAAATTTCAGCCTGAGAAAATTCCTGTTAAGAATCGTTTCCTTTCATGTAGATGAGGATAAGGACGTCCTGTTCTATGTCAACTCTAGAAATTAGTCATCACTGTGGGAAAATAACTTCAGAATACTTAATAGCTTTTGATGTTGTGTTACATGTAAAATGTTTTCTCCCTTCAAATGTTCTAGAAGCAAAGCAACTCATTTTGAAAAGGGGCTAGCCAGGCATGTGCCTATAGGCCCAGCTACCTGGGAGGCTGAAGTGGGAGGACTGCCTGAGTCCAGGAGTTCTGGACTACAGTGTGCTATGCCAATCAGGGGTCCACACTAAGTTCCCCATCAATATAATGACCGCCTAGGAGCTGGAGACCACCAGGTTGCCTAAAACGGGAGGAACCAGCCCAGGTTGGAGATGGCACAGGTTGAAATTCCCATGCTGATCAGTAGTGGGATCATGCCTATGAATAGCCACTTTACTTCAGCCTGGGCAACATAGCAAGATCCTGTCTCTTAAAATAAATATTATTAAATTAAAAGGGGCTAAAATTCCAGGGTTGAAAGAAAACCTATTAGCTGTCTATTTGTAAGACAGGAGACAGGACTCCTGACATGCTGCCCAAAGCAGAACAGCCAAACAGAGACCGAGCACCAGCCTCCCCAAAAGCTCCTTTAAATTATTTCAATTTACTTGAAGCAGGTCACTTGGAAAGGAACTTATATGGGAGAATCACACAAAGATAAACCTACTTTAGTTAAAGTGTCCAGCTTAGCTAAAAATTTTATTAAAGTCTTAATGCACGACAGAGAGATATCAGGCTAAAGTGATAAGCTTTTGGGTCCATCTGCTAATCTGTCTTGTCCACAAGGCAGGGGTCCTTCAAGTCTTTCATGCCAAATAGCATTTGAATGTAAAAGCCAGCAGCAGATTGTGAGGTCAGCTCTCGACCAGCCTACACTCAGGGTTCTGTACAATGCCAACTTCAAGTTGTAACACCCAGATTAGTAAAAACATCCCCAGAGAAAAGTATGTTTTGGGTGGTCATGTTATGAACATGGTTGAGATAATGTTTACTCCTTTTAACCACTAAAATTTTTATGAAAGCTATGAGAAAAAACTTGTTCTTATGAATACATTACAACTCTTCTTAAATAGTATCCTAAATGTAATCTAAACTTTTTTCATGGTCCAGGGGTTAGTAAAAGAACCTCTCTCCTAAAGTGTGTCTGGCAAGTTATGACTGGCAAGAAGGGACCAACCGCTGCCTTAACAAGTTAAATTGCAACACAGAGCAGAAACAGATGCAGCATTATCCATTATCTTAACTTGGGTTTTCCCTGGACCTCTGATTCTCAAATGAACACAGCTCCTCATGATTACACGTAAAGTCTTGTCAGAGCTGAGAACAGACAAATTCTTGGTGTGCTACTACTCTTTTATACCCAGGTATAATACTACTAATACTTTTCAAAGTCCTTACTTGGACCATGGATGCCCTTCCATCCAACAGAACATTTACAGATATTGGGCCCTCAGGCTATTGAATCAAACGCAGTACCAGCAAAGCCGTATCTTCCCCTGGTGTCCCTGCTTCCAGCTTAGTTCTGGAAAGGCTTCTCTGTCATACCCATCTGACTCTAATTCAGTGTCATTTTACCTGTGGTCCAGGGACATAATCACAAGCCCAATTCTCTTTCACCTCTTCTAACTTCACATTTGCCACTTCTAATCTTCTCTTGACTGGGAATTAGAGGTTTATTAAAAACGTTTGCAGAAATCAAGTCAGTAGTTTCAATGAGAATTTGAAGGCTCCTCCCTTGCATTAAAATACATGCATTTTGTAACAACCATTTTGACTGCTTACAGGTTCTCAGGTAATATTGCTGGAAGCCGAGTTCAGGATAAGTAAGAGGCTATTGTGGTATTATTGTTAGAGGGAACTTTGTGGGGAAATGGCATTTACTGAGTACTTTACATGTTCCGTTTGCCTTGAATGTTGATATACTTTACTCCTTACTTCTTTCAGGTGTCTGCTCACCTACGGCCTTATGTGTGATGCCCTCCCCAACCACTCTATATAAAATAACATTCTCCATTCCTCTTTCTCTAGACCTCACCTCATTCCTTGCTTTATTTTAAATCACTGCATTAATCAGCTCTTGGCATATTAAAAATAGTATGTTTATTTATTCGTCTATTGCCTGTCTCAGACATGAATGCTGCATTCATGAGAATGGCCGTTCTATAAAGTCGTTGGCTTATCTATTTTGTTTAGGTGCTCAATAAATATTTGTTGAACAAACACTCCAAGGCTTGTTACTTCTTTAAATATCATGCCATTGTAATCTTCCCTGCCCTTCAAGTCAGATAGTCCCAGACTGTTTATAGACAGAGAAACTGAGGTTGGTTACTCCATACTTGGAGTCACGGTTAAGAGCATGGTTCCTGGAACCAGCCTGGCTGGCCTACAGCGTGGCTCGGCCACTGCCCGTCTCTGTGACATCAGGCAAGTCGATGAACCATTCTGAACCTGGGGCTGCTTATCTGTAAATGGCAATAATAACAGTACTGCTTTATCAAGTTGTGGTGAGGAACTTCTATCTATAAAGAGGTTAAATGTCTCACAGCTCAGAGTAGGTGCTACATAAGAGTTAAATAAATAAACATTAAATCTTAGCTAAAAAACACCTTATAACAAGCACTAACTTTCTCATTCTCATTTCTTACTCATAGAATGACTTCTTGATTGTGACCAGGCTTTCTGGTTCATCCATCTACAGAGGAAGTACAGATGTAGCTATTCTGGCCTGTGTTGCACAGTTACATATTTCTTGTCATAAATGATCAATCAGTGAGTCTAGGTTAATGTGCCAACAAAATCAGGGTTCTGAACCAATAAGACTGAGGCTCGAGCCCAGACAGTGTCACAAAGACACACTTCATGCAGTTGCTTGCTTCGTGACCTCCTAGCTACCTTCTCTAAACAATACCACAACTTTTTATTCAAATATCTGCAACACAAGCTGTATCACTCGGGTGAAGGAAGCACTGCCTAAGAATCCCTTTCTCTAATCATCAGAGCACGGAGAGAGATGACAGGCAGGAGGGTTTCCAGGTAGAAGCAAATGTTTCACCAGCCTCACAGCCCTCCCTCCGCTCCCTCCACAACTTCAGAATGGCACAGTCACTGTTTGTGCTCACAAACAACCGGCTGTCCAGGTTTCACTTGAACAGGAGGTAGGATGTTTCACCTCACAAAGAGTCTTGACCCTCACTTGAAGGGGAACGCCAAGTGCGAAGCCACAAGCAGCCCGCAGGCATTCGGCACTCCCTGAGGCATCTTCCTCGTGTTACCTTGCCCTGGTGATCGTGTTTCATTTCCCATCCCCGCGGCAGCTCTAGCTGTTTGTTCGCGAACATGTTGAGGAATCCCACAAGGTCCCGGTTATGCTGGTAGCGTTCAAAGTGGTGGGTGTCCCGCCGGACTTTGGTGATCATGTGCTTCAAACATGTGTTGTTTGTAAACATGCGATAGGCACTCTAAAGAAAAGAACGGAGAACCAATGTTAACCCGCTTGTGACATGCAGAAGCAGCAGAAATACCACACATGGGTATGGCTAATCAATCTTCCAATACGTAATGAAATGCATACACGGGCTTTGACAGAATTCTAGACCCATGTATGGAAACAGCAGACAGAGCAAAATATCTTGAACAAAATAAAACATGAAGACTACAGAAGGTAAAGCAGTCTCCACAGCTGCATGGTGTCTAGTTTTCTTTAAATTTTTCTTTGCATTTGAAATTCTGGGGTACATGTGCAAGATGCGCAGGTTCGTTAAACAGGTAAACATGTGCCATGGTGGTTTGCTGTACCTAACGACCCATCACCTTGGTATTAAGCCCAGCACACATTAGCTATTTTTCCTTATGTTCTCCCTCCCCCAACCCCACTCCCCAACAGGCCCCAGTGTGTGTTGTTCCCCTCCCTGTGTCCATGTGTTCTCGTTGTTCCACTCCCACTTATAAGTGAGAACATGTGGTGTTTGGTTTTCTGTTCCTGTGTTATTTTGCTGAGAATAATGGCTTCCAGTTCCATCCATATCCCTGCAAAGGATATGATCTCATTCCTTTTTGTGGCTGCATAGTATTCCATGGTGTATATATACCACATTTTCTTTATCCAGTCTATTATTGATGGGTATTTGGGTTGATTCCACATCTTTGCTATTGTGAATAGTGCTGCAGTGAACATATATGTGCACGTATCTTTGTATTAGCATGATTTATATTCCTTTGGGTAAATACTCAGTAAGGGGATTGCTGGGTCAAATGGTATTTTTGGATCTAGATCTTTGCGGTATCACCACACTGTCTTCCACAATGGTTGAACCAATTTACTAAAGAACAAGCATGCTGTGGAGTCTCACTGCACATGGAGCATTAAATCCTGAAGCTGGTTTTAGTAAAAAAACACACAGTCAAAATTACACCACGTTGGAGATGAATACGCCACATTATAGAGAGCCCTGATACAACCAGTTTCTCCCCTAGTACTGGACTAGGTTAGGGGCTCTTTGAGTGAGTGCCAGATGACACAACTAGTAGATACATAAGGGCCAAGTTGCATAGAAAAATGCTTGCCATATATTTCTATACTTGAAGGATATGCAATGGAATTAGCTGCTCTCATTGACCATGACACTCAACTAAGATCATAATATACTGAGGTTTTAGAATCTCACCCTTCATAAAAACATATAAGATTGGTGAATGGAATAGTAGGCTGAGGTGCCTGGGCTGTATATCTTTCTTCTTTTTCTCTCTTTTTTCCTGTGTATATATAGTTTAATGTATATGAATGAAATGCAAGTTTTAAAAAACTCCACTATACCATCACATAGAAAAGTGATTGTTTTGTCCAAAACCTTACAGTCTTCATTACTATGACAGTTAAAGAAGATTCCAAAAATTGATTATAAGTCATGATTGTTCACAAATGAGTCAGTCAATAAATGTTTATTGCATAATACCATGCACAAAGCAGCATAAGAGGAATAACTGTACGGCAGCTGTTTCCTTGAATCATCAGAGGGAATATGATATTCATGAAACTGACCAGGCCATGAATGATCTATCCTGGAATTCTATTCTTCTCAAATTGATTCAAAGGGCTTTGGATTCCTTTTATCTTTAGTGTCTCAGGGACACTAGACTGAGTCTGGAGGTCTTCCAGCTTTATGGGTTCTATTATCTATTTTAGTCTAAACTTCATGAGTTCTGTTATCTATTTTAGTCAAAACTTTATGGGTTCTGTTATCTATTTTAGTCTCAGACAGATCAAGGCAAACTCCAAGGACTCTAGAGTCTCTGGAAATGATTTTATTTTAATAAACATTTACTGTCTTTGCTGTGCCCAGTACTGTGTTCATGATCAGGGATCAAAGAGGAATGAGTATGAGGACAGGTAACACTGCTCCAGTCTTTCTAGGATCCCTCAAGATGTGTCACGTCCAGCTCAAAGCATTTATTGCTGATGTGGGTCCCTCTAGAGCTTAGTTCCCTTTGACACAGCAACTGGCAATGTTTGAACAGAGCTGCTCCCCAGCCTGGTTCCCTGGGTCCCTTAACCTGATTGGGAATGAGAAGTAATCCTTTGTTAGCTTAAGCCACTGAGATTTGTTCATCATTTTTACTGAAGTATAATCTAAACTATTCTTATTGATTCACCATCACTAAATACTTCTTCCCTATCCAAACAAATTAAAGGAAAGAAGGAAGGAAGGGAGGAGGGAGGGAAGAAGAAAGAAGACCACAATGAACCATCCTTGAACCTTAGTTCCTCAGTACACTTGAGTACAAAATACTTTGGAGTCATATTTCAACCACAGTCTAAATGAGTGGAGATTTTGATGACTGTGAGCAGTTGCGTGGTTCAGAGAGTACTGTCAATGCAGGCAGGCCTCTGCAGGGGCTTCTTAGACAGCATGAAAGAATAGGAAAGTGATACCATGAAAGCAGAAAGGAAAACTAATAACAGAAGTTGGGCACTGTCAGGAAAAAAAACCTAACTTCAGCTAAGTAATAGTTTGGTCCTATTGGCTGACTCTGCTTTGGAGTTTTAAATATAATCAGCAAGGCAACTGTTTTCTGCATTTGGCGGAGTGTTGCTGATACATTTTCACATAAGTCATTGCAAGTTAGAGTCCTAAGACCACGCTAGTTTGTGTAGGGAGCATAATGAGCTTTCAGGTCTTACTCCCAAGAGTAAAACAAATATTAAGTCTCTTCAGAGACAAATTATTTAGGGGGTAGTTCTGTCAGATAAACCATTACATTAACAGTTGGTTGTTCTAAATAGACATATCTCTTTGTCGCCTTCGCTTCTCTCTCCTCCCATTGAAGTAAGTAAATAGGACACATTCTTATCTAGAACACCAGAAATACTCCTCACTTTGTAAAAAAAAGAACTTTATTAGGGCAAGAAATAGTGGCAATTAAGAAACCTATCCTAGCCTCTATCTTGAAGCAATTCCCTGGGGCTGAACAGCTCTTTAAGCACAGAAATCTTAAGGCTGGTCTTATAATTAATTACGTCCTTTCAACTTCCTCCTCTCCACCATTGAAACACGTGATATGGTGCCAAACACATTTGATCTTTGCAAAGAGCATCTACTAAAGTAATTCAATGCAAGAAAGCTTTCTTTCAGTAACTAGTAAACAACCTTTAGATCCACAGCCTTTTCAAGTCTGAATAATAAGTACACGACTGTTAGGGTCTATATGAAACACTTAAGCCAAACAGGAACATACTTCTAGACTGCTCTGTTTCTATGAAAAAACTATGTTTGAATAAGCACAAATATATGTATATACAATTTATATATGTGTGTATATATAAATAATTTATATATCTATAGTTTGGGAAGGATATTTACACTCCACTTCATATAAAACTACAGTACAGATTCTAGTCTCAGCTGTTACTCATAGACAGAGACAAAGAAAACCACTTAATCTCTGTCTCAATTTGCTTAACTGTAATATGGGATAATAATAATTCCCTTGCTTTCTCCATAGGCACGTGAGAGTCAAATCCAGTGGGACAAAGGATGGTAAAGTGGTACGAAAAGGTCAAAATCACTTAAAGAATACAGGGTATAAGTAAATAAAAATATTTAGAAGATTATATCTAACATACTTGAACAGACAGAGTTATAAAATTGTTTGCCACTTTTAGTCTTTGAAGATCTTGGGCCAGCATCCCACATTCTACAAACTGAACAAGGGTCTCCTAACCTTCAATAATTATGTGCTAAGCCCTGTGCTAAGCCCCCAGGATACAGAAATGAGCAAGCCTTATCATTCAAAAGGATGAAGAAGGAGAATTATAGGGGGAGGTGGGAGGAAGAGATTCGCTAGAGGCAGAAAGAGTTGGAAAAACGAAAGCCACAACAATGGTGAAAATACAGAAACACACAGACAGAACAAGCAGAGCTAAGAAAGGGAGCAGTCCAAAGAGCCAGAAACACTAAACAGATAGGATTAGGTTGACAGAGTTTAGTCTTCATGGCAGCTGATATTGAAAAAGCTGTGGGTTAAGAAAAATGAGGCATCTTCATTCTCCTTCTGGGGGTTAGTGTTTCTAACTAGGTGAGGATGCTTTTCTATGTTTGTTTGTTTGCTCGCTTGTCTTAGAAAAAAATGCAGAAAAATGATAGAGAAAAAGGTGCAGTAAATGGATCTGGTATTTTACCTGAAACAACAGTAGATTAGAGAAGAGCCCATGATACCTACTTCATAACAGTCTCATGATAATGAACAGAATTCACCTGGGAAGCCGCTGCACATGGACTCCAGTAGTTACGAGGAATTGGCAATTGTTAATAGTAGACAAAGCCCCTTTAAATGATCTTGAAAGGAAACACTTTGTTTTCCTCTGACATAATTTAAATATTCTTTTTAGTTATTCCTTCTTAATTCCAAATATCCCTGTCTCAACCTCCCTTCTGGTTGTTTCTCATCTTCCTAGCAAGAAATAAACTACTTGATGGTTGGGTGAATGATCAACTGAATTTCTTTATTGGAGTTTTGTTAAATAACGCTTCTTAGAACTTAAATGTGTCTTTGCTTGGTTACATGTTTGAGGTTATAGAAGTAAATGTCATTGCCATTTGGCAGGAGAATAAAAAAAATTACATGCAAATGCTCAGTTCTTAGCAACCACATTGCAAATAATAATCAATCCCTCTTACTTTTTTTTTTTTTTTTTTTTTTGCAGGTTTTCCTAAGCATTACGATGACCAAATATCCTAGATTACCTGGCCCAGTCCTAATTTTACCTAATTCTGTTCTTTTCAATAACACAGTTAAGTACCTTACTGATAAATAAAGTCTTTCTTGTTTCAGAAAGCCATCATCAAGAATAGGCATTCTGAATTCAGGTCTGGAAAAGCACATCACTGAATCTATAGCAAACATCTCTCATATTCATAAGGGAGCAGATTTGAGCACTTGTATACATTATTCACTAAATGAA